ATCAACATTCCTGATGATCATTCAACATCCGTTGCAAAGTCAATTTAGCCTTAGGTAATAATGTAGGCGCTGGTGAATTCCTGTCTTTCTTCTGCAATGGGGTTTTTCATTGCCCTGTTCCTTTGCTGCTCCAGCCGCAAGACCATAGCTCGTTGGCTGACTTATAAGTGTTTTGTATTTCTCAGTTGCTCATTACTCTGTAGCCTGCAGTGGTGAGCAAAATGTCACTAGAAGGGGTAAAGAGACTATTGAAGACGGTGAAACTGAAGCCCCGATCATAGTGCTCTAGGAAGGGAGGAAATCTATCCATGATATAACGGATGCGTTCGAGGCTTCCAACGGACGCTTTCGCTGTCGACTACGGAGTACTTATTGCTTACTCGATTGGGTCGCGATTGCACTCAGACTTTCGATCGATCGATCACTAACCCAGATATTTGGCTCCAATTAGCAATGCTAGCAGGGGCAGTTGAGCAACAGTCTCCTCCCGTTGCAACCAAATAGCCCCCCTTCTGCCACATCCAATGCATAGTGTTGGAACGGACGAATATCCCGAACGAGAAACTTCGTGTCAGTGCGTGCTCTGCTGTCTTACACCTTCAGACATCAGATCGAGACAGGTTCCTCAACCTGGAAGAGAAATTGTCTGACAACCCTGTACACCTCACGGGGCCTAGCCCCAGCAAACTCGATCTCTTATGATAGGTTTGACTTCGAAAATAACTAAATTGGTCTTCGTCACCCCCGATCACGGAATTTGAACTTCATTTGACTTTTGCTTTCCTTATATCGGGTATGCTGATGTTTGCCGGGCCCTTCGAGGGGAGCTCAAGCCATTTTGTGGAGAGTTTGATCACATGATCAGCATGGGCGGGCGCATTGGCGTCAGTTCACTCTTGAACACTATGCCATAGTATATATCATCGCACCGGCAGATGCAAATGGTCTGCTTGTGTAGATGATGCTCGGTGCATGATAATCAATATAAGCAGCCACAGCTAATTATTTCCTCGGCTGAGCTCATCCAAGCCGACCATTCATATTGAGTTCCTCACACACTGTAAGATCACTAGGAATATATAAACTCGGCATCAACCCACTATTATCAACAAAACTCGGCATGCTTGTGAATGACCAGATACGTCACCGAACCATCCAGTTTGATCTGTCTCCTTTATGATTCTGTCTCTGCAGCATGGAATCGCTTGACCCTGAGTTTGATCGCACGGAGAAGGATGGAACTTCGATCATTACGAGATTGAGCCATGATCTGTAACACCTAGTATTGAATGCAAGATACAAGTGGGACAAAGCAAATGCTGGTTCTGGAAAATAGACTCCCAGTCACGATTTAAAAATATCATCACCATCCGGCAGCAAAGTTCAATCGAGTTTCTGGGTTGAGGATGGCTCTGAACACATGTATCTCCAATTGAGATAGAGTGACGATCCAGCCCTCAAGCTTGAAGATAGTTGCAAGACACAAGCCCCGACCGGGATATTCTGTTTGTAAGTTTCCCGGCTCACTTTATTCCTGCTACATCCCCTTCTCTTTTATTACAAGTTCATTAGCGTGGACCGACACCTTCGCGGACGTCCTTACGGACACAATGCATGTCATTTTAGAACGTACCTGCCACCTACTCAATGGGCTGTGTATCGGATCTGTATCCAGGTAGGTATCTGTTGACGTGATGTTTTTGATTCTCTCGAGGGATCAACTAGAACGATCCTAAACCCGGTAAGGTTACAGCAAGCTTTTCCGTTTGGTCGGTGGGTATGGAAGAACATCCTGAAGGATTTTTTTTGATCGGAAGTACGGCCATCATGGTTAGCATGTGAAAGCTGCCCGATTTATGAAATCATGATACAGATAACCACATCTACCTGCCCTCTGTGAGTCTGCTTTATTTAATCGAGCCCGGGCTTTTGATAAACTCCAGGGAATCCTATGACTTGTGACGCCGACATTATGAAAGTAATACTGAGGGGTCAGCCCGTTGTACGAAGTAAAGTACTGTACATTTACCACCTTACCAGTGCACAGACGAGGCGACCCGTGGTGGATGGATCCAACGGTCGCCTTAAAATACGACTAATCTGATCGGACTGGTACCAATCGCCCATCCATCCGCCCACCACTCCAGGTACACACCAGGTAACTTCAATACTAAGTGATCATGTCAATTGATTCACCATAGTACGTAGGGGAAAATTTACTCCGTAGACTACCCACTCGCTGCTCCTAATAGCAAACCTTGTTATTGACGCATACTCTTTGATCAGGTTGCTTGGAGCAGTTTCGAGTCACTTTAGCAGGCCACCGTACAAATCTACAGTTTATCTCAGTGACTCCCAGTAACTATCCTTCGGCGTCCTCGAAGGAGCCCAGGAATTGGTAATAATATGGACATACACATTCGCATCACATTCTTTCGACGATATTCCTACAATCTATAGGTTCTTACCCATTTCATATACATCGTAACTTCAAATAGCCGAATCTGCTCTCGATCTTGAGGGCAGGAAATGAGGGCTCAAGCGGGCATGCTAAGCATCATTTCGGACTAGGAATGCTGGATCGCAAAACACTGTGCATACAACACCGGGCCCCATCGAATGGTGTTGATTGGTCACAATTCAACGCATTGACCAACAAGCTCACAGGATCTTGGAATGTTTTGAGATAAGTGACAGCTTGCATGAGATTAGGTGAGTCTCAAATACAGCCAACACGATTACATCCCCAGCCACCCGATACACCATGGACTCTAACTTGGCGAAAGTTATTACGGAGACACGGTTCCGCCCCAGCTTGTTGTGCCACTGTTGACAAGTGTGCACGATAGCTAGCGCATATTCGGGCTTCGACGTCCACCATGTGGTACGCCCTGTGGAAAGGAGACCGGTAATTTTTTCCAATGGCAAATGTGGTGGTATCCGCTCGCTCCAAGAACAATTGCGTTGCGCCTTCATGGCCCCCCGGTGGTGACGATCTCTGTTATCAGTCATGTCGAAAGGGGTGAATGGGACAGGAAACCATACATACACATAGTAGTTAGACTAGGACGAGAAATTCCCTGATCAACCAGCCCCATATCGTGATGAGAGCCATCGGCTCTGTACCAGTTCTCTGGTCAGTGGAGACATGTCCCATCCATCTCTCACCGACATGCTGCTAATCTAAATCTTCTTCCTTGCCCCCAGGAAGCAATGATCGTCGTTTGGAAAGTACTGCTCGGCTCTCCAGTGCCAAGAGAGCACCAAACAATACCATTGTCGCTATTTATGCAGTATGCCGTTCGTGTTACCGCATCGACTTGAAAGGTCGAGAAGCGCTCAAGCCCCACAAAATCCGAGATATTGCATAAGGGGAGTCTGTGTATACAAAGTAACAAACCTACTGGGTGACAGAATGGGGTAGAACAGGTCAAGAAAAGACCCTCACGATGACCACAGAATCTTGGATCTTGTACTATCGATTGACGAAGAACCTGACTCGAGTCCTATGCACTATCCGAGGCCAATCACCCCAAATTCATGACTCCTCCTCATCTTTGACTCCGTTTAACCGACGCCAGAGACAGGTAGCGGGCTGGGAAACCCGCATTCACTACCTAGCTATGGAGCCAGGTGAAATGGATCTTGTGCCAGGCAACAGACAGATGATTGCCCGGAAGGACTGATTACTAAGGTGTGCCAGCATCGCAAAACTGATCTTTGTCAGCGGGAGTCTTCGATCGAAGATTTCGCGCATAGTCAGGAGGTGACACAGCATGGTTCGCGAAGCGAGGAATTTATTGGTGACCCGGCAAACGGCCGGGATCGACAGCGCCAGAGGGCAATGGATAAAGAACCGTTGCGACCGTTAGTAGTTTTCAGTCCCGACACCTCCACTGGGTCTCCCTGACAGCGACACAGAACAGCCCCATAGGCATATCTGGATTGACCTGAATCATTACATGGTACAGGTAATACCGGCATCTACGTATCAGATGTGGGACCGGGTCCTACTAAGTATGATCTCTCCCAGCGCTGATCGAAGAATCCTATCGGCACTCATAAGGGGTAAGGGGAGGGGAGCTGGACGGCGCTTCGACCGTTTGTGGCAAGAGTCCAAAGTGACGGACGGGCGGATGTATGGATTGAAGCCCGGTGATCGTTCTGGCGACAAGCGTTCTGTCTATTGGAGCGGAGACAAAGTCCTGACACCATCGTATTGTGGTTTGTGATGGCTCCGACTAACGACCTTACTACTACGAAGTTACTGGTGTTCGCCTGCGACAAACGCCGCCTTCCGCTTCTTGACACCTGATCTGTTTACTACTAGGTAGGTAGCCACTGCACTTCTTTGGTCTTGGTTTGGGAGAAGGGCTTACGATCCAGCGAGTACGTACTCGTAGTACCGTCTCCATCACCTTGCATCACCGGCAAGCAATCCTGCTAATGCACCTGACCCTCGCCGTTGAAGTACATTACCGTACCTTTTGTCAAAGAGTGGCGAGCCACTTCCAGGCTGACTATGATTGGCTATGATCCCCCAGATTCTCCATATGTACCACCGGCAAGGTGGCTTTAACCAGGTGACTTTAACCAAGGGCTTTCTTATTCGCCCGGATGGGCCCTGGCCATAGCAGTGGAAGAACGAAAATAAGAATAGAAAAAGAAAAGAGTCCCCAAAGTCAGGGGTACCTTAGTGGCGGTGGACCAATCTTCTCGACGGCTGGATCTCTCGACCACTGGTATGATGAAAGGGAGAAGGATCATCATCATCATCATCATCGTCATTATCGTAATAAGTCAACTTTTCTGGTACTGGAATGCCAAAAGGAAATGCACCCGAGGGCAAACATCCCCCCGATGCAGTGGATCCATCCCGGTAAACTCTCCGACGACTTACCCCCAAACAGGAAGCTGACAGCTGGGGTTTCGTCAAAAAATTCGGCTTAACCCGTGCCTCGCAGCGGGTCTTTCGACCTTTTTCCGCAATTCCCTTGCCTTAGCAGGACCTGGCTGTGCTGCAACTAGACCGATCGGGGACATGTATGTACTCTGTACATTCGGTAACGACCTCACTCCCCCACCAGCCATGCTGATGCTGTCTGTACCCGTCTGGAATCTTCATCTTCGATCCCCGTATCGAGCCAGCCGACAATCGACATGAGATCTCGTCTTCCCGTTCTGCGTTGCGTATATTGGACCATTGCCTATCGAACGGGCTCAAAAGTCCATATTCTCATACTTGTTATTCTGCGATCGGAACCGTCTCAGGAACTTCTACCGATTAACGTGTGCATGGGCCATCTTCCCCTTCTCTAGACTGAGCTGCGAGATTGGCGGGATATACCGCCTCTTCAACTCATGCCAGTTCCAATCTACGTTTGGCCTTTCTAGAGGGGGGTTGCCTTGGACAATGATGGTTCCGCGATCTTCCCCGGGAGCGCGTCAGAATGGAAATCATGTTGCGGTGGGTTTGAAGTCAAGGTACGGACGAGGCGTAACAGCAGCAACACCGGCGACAATGATCATAATGATCATATAACTACCACCACCACTCGGTAAATAGTCCATACTAAGTAGACTACGGAGTACATACCTGCCACATACCTCTCCAAGCCATAAAAACCACGTGTGTCACCGCACTGAAGGATAGCTCGGCCACCTCCTTCCGAATAGGGAGACTGAGAAGCTGACCCACTGCATTCCTCCAACCAACCTCTTGAAAAACACGTGAAGTGGGCCTTCCTCCATCGGCACCAGTCAAACTGTCCCGTCTTTGGCGTACCAAGATTTGACTGGAGAAACCCTGCCCGAGAATGACGAATGCGACAGATGCCCTGTCAATCATCACGATCGATACCATGGCTGCTGTCCAGGCCTGCTTATGTTCCACTGTGGCTGTAAGTTGGGGCATGGTTGACAGGGAGGCCATCCAGGCGAGGGTAGATGACAACCGCTGATCATCATCATCATCAGCAGCAGCAGCAGCATAATCGCCGCCGAGGACTATGCAGACGGACACCGGAGGAGGTAAGGAGGAAGTCATTCACATTCCCCTCTGTCCTCCCCCAAGAAGAATGTGTGGCTCGGAAGTTGAGCAACAATCATTTCCCTACCCAGGTACGCGGAATGTGTAAGGTTATCATCTCCTAAGGAACAAAATCTTGACTCTATTCCTCTGTCGCTCTCGTGACTACTCGAGTAAGTGTTTCTTTTTTCCTGCTTTTCCATAGATCCTTCATCACTACGGTACCTCATAAACACACCGACCGCCAGACGGATCTACTTCGGGTTCCGTGTTGGTGGCACAGGAAATCAATCGCCGATTCCAAGTCGTAAGCAAATCCCGGGTCTCTGGACGTGGTCGACGCCATGATGGTGGTAATGATGATCCGCTAGGCCCATTTCCCTCATGAGGCAAAAACACAAGCCAAAATCAGGAAAAGATGGCAAAATGAGCTGATCTCACAAGCGCAAACTAATCTTATCCAAAGCGGACGACTGCTGTCGTGGACTCGTGAGATCGGTGTTAGTCTCGTGTGGATGCGCTCAAACCTCTCCCTCTTGCAACCCTCCCCCCTCCAAATTCAGGCAATTTTGCATTTGGGCAAAGTTGGCGTCCGGGCCCGGAGTCTGCGGGACGCAGATACTGCCTCTTCCAGGCCGTTGAACGTTTGGATTCCCCACTGCATCTGCCATGGACCCGGCTGCAGTGGGGGGTTCCACCTTGACTTACTTAGCGCGGTCAAGACTGAGGTGGGATCGAGGAAGGGCGCATCACTTTTGTGCGTGGCACTCAAAAGTACGCGATTCAGGAAAGGCATGCAGGCTGATCCGATGCATACGCAGATTTGGAGAGGGGAGTGAGACCGGATTATCCGACTCGCCTTCTGTTGGCTTCTTTGCATCCCTTGACCCTCACTGGAAATCGTACAAAGTCAGAAAGTCATTTCGATCATCAAAAACTCCTCGTCAACATCACGGTAGAACCATTTTGCTCAAATTATCTTACCATATGGGGGATTCTAATTTGCCGAGCTCGAACTCCCCATGCACATGACTTCTCGGCTTTATTCTCCGTGTCCGTGAAGCTGGGAAGCTACTCCATGTATTGAGCTGGACCGGACAGTCCATAGTAAATGACCTGGACTGATCCAGGTGTTGTAATTCGAGTGGTGGGTACACAAGTGGACTTCCATTATTTTCTATCTCTAAAAGGAGAAAAAAAAGCGAGACAAACAATAGGGCAGATAGGGGACATATCACGGAAATTTTCGCTCATTATGATAGGTGAAGCATTCAGAAGCAAGGTATGGAGAGGAGGTGAGTACCAGTAGGGAGAGCTCTTGACCTCATAACGGTTGTCGATCGGCCCGCCATGACTAGCACGATTTCCGTTCTGCAACCTCTATCTGTGGGAACTGTCTAGACTCCAGACTTTGCCTAGCGTCGCTATCTATCGCCCATCGCCATCGTCGGGGTGAATCTGAGCGGATCTTGGGGAGGGAGGGGGAAGGGGAAAGGGAGGAGGGAGGAGGGGGGGTGGTTTGGCTGGTCTCTTTGAGTCTATCAGTGATGCATTGCTAGCCAACAGTAATCACGGAGATGACCACCCGAAGGGTGCTAGCACCAGACGAGTTTAATAAATCACCCGTCAATTTTTGCTCTTCCCCCCATAATTTCTTCCTTTCTTTTCCTGTCTGGTGGACGAGAAGTGCTTAGTGGGGAAGACTAGATGTTTTAAGCCCCGAAGTCAACCCGTAGGATGATGACACTCTGGATCCTATAATGAACGGATGATATTACTGTCGTTGCCTCCGGCCGTAAAAACAACGTGGTGCGGTGGTGGGTGGAATTCTAGTAGTGTCAACGGGAGGTGCAGAAAAGAAGGGCGACCGAATCCACCCGCGTCCCAAGGCAGCAACTACAGAAGATGGGATGTGTATCACGGATCAATTCTAAGTTAACTTACCGTTCGGGATTTACATATAGTTAAGCACGAGTCAGGCGGGCTTACAAACACCATAAACTGGAGCCCATACCCGCGTTGAGTACAACAAAAGGGGCTAAGCAGGGCACATTATCAAGCTAATTCGTCTTTTGCGTAAACCCGTTAGAAAAAAGGTAGCATCGTAGACAGCGAGAGGAGGCAAACGGTTTTTCTATTTTTTGCCCTTTCTTCCAGAATTATCGACAATGATGATGCTGCTACTGCTGCTGCTGCTGATGATGACGGCATATGCCAATCAATAATTTAGGTCGGAGTTTTACAGCCGTGATGGGTGGGTGCCCACTGTCCCGATGGAATCAACAAACACCCCAATCTAAATAGATTAAACTGGAACCTCTTGTCTCCTTCTGTTTTTCATTTTTTCATTTTTTTTTGCGCCCGTAGACTGACTACAAGGCACGCCCATTCGAACTATAAGCCTCAGGTTGGGCCAATATATCGACAATCTAACTCCCTACTGAGATCGTTCTTTTTTGGTCACGCCAAAACACCATGGGCGCGAAATCTATATTTGTCATTCGCTGTGATAAGCTCAGACGAACGTCCTCCGAATCTTCCTATTTTGACCTTCTGAGACTAGTATATAGTCAAATAGATTATTCCGGACCCCCCACTGAACTGACCAAAGGCAACTAAACAAGGCACCATGTAACCTGAACCATCCGCCTCCGCCGATCGATCATGCCAGAGAACACGGAAAAAAATCATTAGCAAGGGCATATGGCACCTGAGATATAGTCTATACCTTCTTGGAACTGCTTCCGATCGCTGCCAAAATCATTCCGTAGCTTATATCGACCCTAGATAACCAAAAAGTAAATTACCATCCGGTAAATCGCTTGTACCGAGGTATGCGCATGTACATGTACTGTAATCATGTACCCCGGGGCAAACACCTACGGTGCCCGAATTGGGGTTCATACCTAGAAAGGGCAAAGGGGCACAGTATTGCATCTCATTCGATTGAATTAATGGAGCAGAATGATATAGGAGGTGCCCGACGCTCGAGTCGTGGGCCATAAAGCAGATTACCGCTTGAATCATGAGTCGAAGCCAGTCAAGCGGCTCTAGACGTTACTTCTGACTCGCTGACGAGGTAGGTAGGTCAACCAAAGCGCAGGAAAGGTTTCACAAATTAGCTTTACAGATAATAAGTAAGTATGTAGCTTCGGAGTATATGCCTCGACTTATCTCTTCTGATTCTCTATTGATGAGATTTCAGAATCGTAAGGTCTGATATGCGACGCTCGATCCCTTCCTTGTCCGTGTTCTCGACCCCCCGGTTGTCAAAGCTGATTGCTATTCCTGATACTTTTGCTATAATCACTGCCATCATCATCATACCTTGATTCTGTTGTGTAGGAAAACCTGATCGCTACCAGCCTACAGTGTATGATAACCCGTTGGGGAGGGGATCATACAACAGATGAGCTCATAGAACTCTCGAACCCGCCTCATGTCCCCTTTCCTTTATCCTATGAACTACGTACTTACCGTAACCTTAAGTGATATCACTATAAATACTCTGCCGAACAGGCCAGGAGGCACATATATATGTGTTTCTCATATAGGGGGGGGGGAAGGTGGTGGAGAGCGGGGAGTTATATCGGGAAAGAGGTATATTGGGGAAAGTGCAAACCGAGAGAGTTTTCCCAGTTCACATTAGTAAACTGACCACAGACCAGACACCGGAGCAAGCACCATACCATGGCACAATCAAGTTTTCTCTGGAAGAATCTGCACGATGCCCCCCCATATTGGGGAAGTTGATTGGTGAATCTCTGATGCTATGCCTTCGTGATTCGTTCCTAGAATGGATCTGGACCTCGAATCGCCTTGGTTCCAGGTACGGGCTCACAGACTTCTCTCACTACTTCCATCTTCGGTGAGGATGGAGTGAAGACGGATCTCCCCTGGCTTTCACGCTTTCTGGCATGGTCGTTCTTGTTTCGATGGAGAGCAGGTTCCCTGTTCATGCTGGGGAAAGGCCCTATTCTTGTTCTTGGAGACGGTTCAAACGCGACCAGGTCTATGACGTGCGTGCTTAGGGATAGTGCTCGTGAGTATGGTGTCTGATTCTCTCAACCTCTCAGCTCGAGTAAGGGATGTGGTCTAACTTCTACGTTGTTCATAGTCTTCTAGTTCGAATTGCCTTTGGGATAGCTTCGCTGTTCTAACAACCACCTTTTTGTTCGGAGAACGATCGCATATCATGAAAGCGCTACGGTGGAAAACTCCTTCGTGGTGATCCATAGCTGGAAGAGAATAGCAAGGACTTAACCTTTCACTTGGTAGCATGACACCTCTTATGAGAGCGTGGTTATAATGAGCTCCCCCTGGATTTCGGATGCTACTATTGTCTTTCTCCGGCTTCCCTCGGCGAATATCGCACGAGAGGAATATGAGTATAGGATCGATAACCAGCACCCAGGTGTGCTTTCCTGGACACGGCCGAGGTGCGCAATGATTCTGTCATCCATACTAAGTTCTCATGCTTGACGCTCTCGATCGGACAGATCGCTGATACCAGTATGTTGGCAGGCTCGTGTCTTCCCAATGATCCGTTCGGTACCCTCTCCGCTACATTCAGACCACCAATACCATGTGTGGCAGTCAGTCGAACCGTATACAATGCCTGCAGTTTTCCCCTGCTCCGTCGATGGATCCCAAACCAAGCAACCAGCCTAGATTGCTGTGGCCTCTTCGAAGACGCAACTCAACTTCGGTAGGTCCAACGCACAGGACAGACTAACAATATGACACATGGGCTAGCTCCTAAGATCGGCTCTTACCGGTCAGCACGCGCATCCAGTATTGATACGCATCGAACCTTAAACCGACATAGCTTGTATCGACCGAGCGCTACAGAATCTGAAATCAGAAAATCCCAATAGACGATCAAACTGCACAGAGCCTTTTGTCTATATCGGGCCTGCATAACAGTCTACTTAGTTTGGAGATAGCACATGTGAGATACTGTGCATACATACATGTACAGTACAGTACATGCAGGGTAGGCCCAGAATGCGTGAACC